GGGGGTGGGGGGGGGGGGGGGGGGGGAGGGGTAGCCTCAAGAATCCACTTGCTCCGGGCCCTGCAACTTCTTAATCCGGCCCTGGGTTTTAGTTTTTTTTATTCATCACAATGTGCAATTTCAATAACTGTATCTCATATGGATTATTTTATGTTACTTTTTTTTGCAAAGAAGTGTGAATGTTCCTTCTCCTACTTGTGAAGAAGCTCAAGGACATCAGATTTAAGCAGAGTAACGGGACGCAAATCTGCCCTTTTTCTCTTAAATTGTGGAGTCCTCCTCGTGCCCACGAGGATATAATGAGCAGAGGGGAAGAGTCCCTGAGTTCCTACGCTGAATGGCCATTGCGGGCCACTCGCTTCTTCACGTCCTCGTCCTGCCCTACGCGGGAGTCCGCCTCGAACCTTTGACCGGACAACACGAGGGGCCAGTCCGTCTTGAACCTCCGGCCGGACAACACGTGGCGTGTCGAACCACGCATCCTGACCCCACAGCCAGTCAACTCAGTGGACCGCGGTGTGAGCTCCGCACTGCGAGCCGGTCAGCATCGTGATCTGCCGTGAACTCATCTCGAGCCGACGACCTGGACCACGGTCGGCGGACAGGCACCAACGGATTCAACTGTCCATGTATCAGGACGAAGTGCGTGCGAGTCCCGCCTACGAACGTGAGCTGTATCTTCCCTGTATTTCTCCTTCTGTTCTTTCCCCCATTGAGTAGCCTAATAAATTCTGTTGTTAACGTTGATCTGAGGACGTACGTTCCTTCCTACCTGGAGTCAGCAGATCGGAGGGGGGAGAGAGTCGCTTCTCCCTGGCTAAATTACCATCTATAAGAACATGCAACCTTCTTGATTATCATCCGACCACATTGGGTCTGATCCCCCATATGTAGCGAGGCATTGGTGCCCCATATCTTGTGACCCCCTGAGGTTCGCTACAAAATAAAAGACCGAGGCGTCTTGGCTCTTTCTCCAGAAGTACAAGAATAAACGAAAGCATCCCTCAGAGCAGGCTTTGAAATTCGATTCTCATTCAACGAGAGTTCATTTCCATCGGCGATCTCCCATGATCCGAATCAAGATGACAAATGGATCTTGCGTCTCTTTCGACAGTAACTTGAATACTGGGTGTAGTGTTAACACCCTGGTTTTCTCTGAATGAATAGGTCTTTGTCAAATCCTCCATCCTAATGCCTCACCTAGCAAGTGTGAAAATTCGGTGTCATTTAGATTTTGAGAATGGGCTTTGTGCCGTTGCTGCTACCGTCCACTCCAAATTTGATCATTTGTGGACCCAGAGGCACGTAGGCATATCATTAAATTTGGAGACAGATAATCCGATTCCAAGCTGTGACCCTATCTTTGAACAGTTGCAATATTGTATATTTTTTCGATCGTGCATGCAGAAAATATATGTAGGAAGGCTCCATTTCCTGGTAATCAAATGGAAAGTGGGCGTAACGTAAAGCCAGAGTCGCTAAACCCAGGCAAAAAATGTTACAGAGAAACCTGCAGACTTCTAAAATTTTTAAAAGTAGTTCTATTGAATCCAATAAAGCACTCAATGCCCCTGGATAAGACAGATTGGAGTATCCAACGGTAAGGGGCTAGGAACGGCGTAGATACAGCTCAATGGCGGGTCGTGGACGAAAAATCTAGGGTGGCCAGCATAATGAATTTCTTCATAATGAGCAATAGTTCCTTGCTGTAATTATGGGAGCATGAAGCACGAAAGGTGTGTTTAGGTCAGTCTTATCTCCTAATGAGTCGCACTGCTTCAAGTGATGACGGTAATAAAATACTGAACTAGAAAACGTTGTTTGCAGTTTATATTGAATCGAAATAATGCAAAAACAGAGGAAATTGAAACTTTCATAGAAGATTTGAAGAGTAGAAACCTTACAGAAATCCTATTGAATTGATTTACAGTGTCTTCATGGAATTCTATGGAAATTCGATACGATTCTTGATAGGATTTCTATAGAATCTAAAAAGAATTTCAATACAGTGATTTAATAAAGTTCTATTGAGTGAAATAATAGAATCCTATACAACCCTAGGAGCTCCAGAGCGTGCTCGATCGGTTCGACTCCGAATGCACTGCGGCAGGAATGAAACAGCGTCTCCAAGACACAGGTCATGGTCACAGGTCCTCTCGAGAAATCCTGCTCGGTGCACCCTGCATGTCACTGGAACAGGTAGAGAAGTTCAAGTATCTCGGGGTCTGGTTCTCGAGTGACGGGCGATACGGAAACGAGATCGACAACCGCATCTCCAGGGCTTCTGCAGTTCTGCGGGAACTTTGGCGAACCGTGGTTACCAGGTCGGACGTTTCTCGGAAAGCAAAACTCTCGGTTTTTAAGAGTGTTTATCTCCCCACCCTCACCTATGGTCATGAACTTTGGGTAATGACCGAAAGCACCAGATCGCGAATACAAGCTGCCGAAATAAGGTTCTTGCGTCGAGTAGCTGGCATAACGCGCCGTGATCGGATGCGGAACTCTGCCATCCGCGTGAGTCTCCACGTCGAGCAGCTGCTTCTCCGTATCGAGAGGTCTCAGGCCAGGTGGTTCGGACACGTCTGCTGCATGCCTCCTGAGAGGCTCCCAAGAAGAGTCTTCCAGGCCTAGATGACCGGCAAAAGACCTGTCGGTAGACCTCGTACAAAGTGGAGTGATTACGTCGCTCGGCTTTGTTACGAGAGGCTCGGCTTCCCACCAACTGAGCTTGAATCTGTTGCCCAGGATCGAGATCACTGGAGGACGCTCCTGGGGATGCTCGAACCGCAACCCCATTAAATTGGGAAAAGCGACCAAGAAAATGTATGTATGTAGAGCCTATAGAACATTTTTGGGGAGGGAAAGCGAACATAAAATGTTTGAGACCGCTGGTCTAAGGCATAAATTTCAGACGCAGATACATCGCTTGCAGTTGAAAAACACTCCAAACCGTGTCATCCTTGCAATTCCGGAGATCATGAAGCTGAGACAGGGCTGAATACGCCTGCCATATGGAAAGGTTCCTAAACCAAAGGGACTAGGATCTCTCGACCCGAAGCAGCAGCTGCTCGACCTCTAGGTTCTAACGGACGGCGGCACTCCGCATCCTCTCACTCGGCGTTACAACGGGCATGCTCTGTAAGAACTTCATCGACGGAGCTTCGATGCGCAACCTGATCCTCATATTTGGCAATTAAAGTCCTACAGAGTTCCTGCTAAAAGGCGGAGATGCAAGATGGAGATGCGACTATCAATTTCATTTTCGTCTTATCCTTCATTCGAGAAGCAGAACCCGAAGTACTTTAACTTCTCCACTCGATCCAGTGGGATTTAACTGTACTCTAACATGTAAGATGCACCACACAGGACTTCACGAGAGGACCATGACCTTCGTTTTTGGAGCGCTCTATTTCATTCCGACCGTAGAACATTTCGAGTCGAACCGATCGAGCAAGTCCAGAAACTCCTGTCGAGACCAGGCCAAAAGGACAGCATCATCGGCAAGGAGAAGTATCTTTGCCCCTTTGCCTCGATACTGCCGATGCTGACACCATCGAGGCCCAAGCTATGCCTACTGACCCTGTCCATGTACACGAGCAACAGGAAAGAGAGACCGGAACCCCTCAACGGAGTCCTACAGGCACCGGGTTCTTCATGAAATACTGGGAATTCTGCGTTTGGCGTTGGAGCGCTTCGAAGGTAAATATTCGAAGGTAATGCAAATATCACGACTTATGGGTAATTACGAATTTGAAGTTGGATGCAACTTGCGTAAGCACGACAGAAGACTGAGAAATGAAAGTGCGAATTAAAAACTTAGCAATAATATATAAGGAGCATACAGGAAATGTTCCAAGAAGTAGTTATGGAATTCACCGGCAGGTAATGTTCCGATCGGACAATTCCGCAACATCTGCACTGTTAATATTTGAAGAGATATGCGTATGA